TGTACCCACAATTAACATTACTATTTTATTTTTTTACTTAGCCATACTCTTTAGTGACTTATAAATACTTACTTAGTAATGATCAGAAGCAGAGTTTTAAGAGCAATAATGGTTCTTAGAAATAACTCACAGAGATTTCTTGATTGGGTTGCTAGACCGGCAACTTATAAATGAATAAATAAAACGTCTCGCAAGGTGACATTTTGCTTGTTTACCATTAAAATAACTCACACTTGAGCACGAAATTTCTTTCAAACTCCATTAAATGTAGGCTTAAACTTCCCGCCTTCAACTAAAAGAAAATAAAATTAAAATTTAACAAAAAAATAGAATAAGATATAATAGATATTCATGTATTTTATTATTTATTTATGTATTTAATTATTTAATTATTTATTAATTTATTCATTGTCATCTATTTATTTATTTATTTATTTATTTGTTTATCAATTAATTAATTTCACTGTTCATTCATTCATTTATTCATTCATTCATTCATTCATTCCATTATTCATTCATTCATCTATTCATTCATTCATTCATGCATGCATTCGTTAGTTTGTTCGTCCGTCCGTCCATCCATCCATATATCCATCCATCCATCCTTTCATTCACACACTCATTCATTTAATTAATTAATTAATTCATTCATTTATCATTCATTCATTCATTCATTCATGCACGCCAAGCGAAAATGTCGATAATTTCCAAGTTAAAAATGACGCGGGCGCAGAGCGATAACACGCTAGTTATCGGGGGTTTGAGGCAAGATATAATAAATAAAACACCGCCCCGCGGGGGAGCGGACAAAGATTTTCGATATAAACGGAGGGGCGCGGAGCGAAAACACACTAATAAACGGGGGCGCGAGATAAATAAATACAACTTCGCCCCAAGTACCCGGAAATTAGCGTGTTTTCACTGTGCGACCACGTGGTTTGAAATATTTATTCAACCAAGCGTAAAGTTGAGTAAAAAAAGTTAAAATGACAGGGCACAGGCGAAGTTTAATAAATAATTCAAACACACTAATTACCTTGTTGTCGCTCCTATCCCCTGTCATTTTAACTTGTTAATTCTCGAATTTTTGTTTGGTAGGGTTGCATGGCGATGAAAACGAATGACACAAGCCAGCCAGTATAGATTCAAAATAAAAATAAATGTGTTTCATTTTGCATGTTGTTTTTTCATCTCCCTATTAACATCTCTAATGAAAATATGAAAAAACGAAACGTTAATATCATTTACAAAGTTGGCATGTGAAAAAATAAACCGCAAAGTAAAACATTGTCTTGGAATTGAACTGTCTAAATAGTGAAATGTCATAAAAGTGAAATGTCTTGAATTTTCTCTGCAGTGATATGTTTAAAGGTCAAGTCAGAATTTCGTGTCATCTCTGGTAACTGTAAAAAAAACCTTTCCACATACCAAGACAAATCATCTTTGTATCCGCAATTAATGAAAAGTGACACCGTGACTTTCATGAAATGTTTTGAATAATAGTCGGAGGTAGAAAATTTCATCAGATCCAAAAGAGCATATATGATGGACTTGGTACAAATACAATATATGCCATATTATACTGAAACTGAACTTATGCACCTTCTAATTTTCATCATTCTGGCAACAGCCATAATTCATCAATAAGCAATCAAGATATATTGAAAGAACTTGTATGAATGTCTTTCAGTTATCGTGATGATTTGTGCATTTGTTTTAGCTTATATCATTATTTCATGTCTAAACATACTGTTTTTGGAAAAACAATTAAAATTAAGATATGTTATTTGTTTTCTACGATGGTATATCTTCATAATTATGTTACCTTTTTTAGATAAAGATATTACTATTAGTCCTCAATCGGTTTAACCGAAGGGGACTTTAGGTTTACCATCCGTCCGTCTGTCCGTCCGTCTGTCCGTCCGAACAAACCCAGAGGTACTTGTGTGACTTGGAGAACAATTGGAACAGTAAATTCTCTTTGATCCTTTTTATTCCGTTTTTACGTGTGTGTCATTTTTTCAAGCCTTGTGTGACTAAAAATGGCCAAAAAGATCAAAGGAAAAGTCACATAAGTACCATTTACAACGCAAAAAGTACTGGAAATATATTTGTGAATCTTTAAATATGGATGGATGGCAATATGGAGATAATGCACGTCTTTTTCTATTATTCCTATGTTAAATATTCTGGTTGCTATGGCAACAAACAGACTGAAAATATGGCAAAATCTTACACAAACTGGATCCAGTGATAACCCAAAAAGTTCTGAATTATTTTAATTAAACTTGAACTATGGGTAGATGGCAGTTTGGAGATTATGCTCGTCTTTTTATTTCCTTCTTATGATGAAAAAGATGGTTGTCAAGGCAACAAATAGGCTTAAAACATGTCATAATAATAATTTTTGTGATTAATCAAAACGAGTTGAACATTTTTATGAAACTTAAAATCTGAATAGATGTCAGTATGACAATTATTCACATCATTTTTATCTTGACTATAGGGAGTATATTGAGAGATGTCATACTTACCAAACATTAGCAACCTCGTCAAGATTTCTGATTCTAGTTTTTAGGCTTTTTCACTATAAGTTCTTTATTTCTTAATGTATTTACTTCAAACTTCAAATATAAGTTTTTGGTCATCAACCACATCAAATGTGACAAGGTTTACAACTCTAGCACAACAATTATCAGAATAACCACCCTTGAACTTAGAATTTTTATGAAAAAAAAAATTAATAACTTTTTTATTTCTTAATTTATCTATTTCAGACTTCATATATATGTTTCTTATAATCACTCAAATCATTTGTGAGAAGGTTCAATACACTAGCAAGACTATTTCCCGAATTATGTCCCCTAACACTTAGATTGTTTTTGAGAAATTGGTATATTTTACTCCAACTTCTTCATTACTTATAGGATTGACTTCAAACTCCCACATCATAATGATATGACAAGGTTATAAATCTGGTATCTATATTTCCAGAATTATCTCCTCCTTAATCTTTTCTTATTCATTCTGTTTAACTTTCTTATTATTTCATGGATTAACTTCAAATTCAAAATGAACATTCATTATCAACACCTACATTACTGATTTTTTTTTTAATTATACTTACACAATGTATGAAAATGTTCATAAGTCGTGCATCTTTATTTCAAGAGTTATCTCCTTTTTAAGAATTTTGCTTATAAAAATGTTATATTTTGTAATTATTGTCATTGCCATTATCATATCATTATCATTATCATTATTATTATTATTATTATTATTATTATTATTATTATTATTATTATTATTATTATTATTATTATTATCATTTTATTTGGTATTATTGTTATTATCATTATTATTATGGAATATTCTGCAATCGAAATGATCAAAATGGTTATGTTGGGCTTGCCGTGCAAATGCATGTCCCAATTGCAGTGCCTTCAGTACTTTGATTCATTTCACGAGAGCTGTCCCTTCATGTGAAATAGCCATCAAAATATGTATGTTACCGTTCATCCCGCGCAGTTGAAATAAAACAGACGAGAACTAAAATCAAGATTGATGGATGCCAGTTTTGTACGATTGTAAGATTTTTAATGTATTTTATGTTATTTTATATTTACAAAATTAACATTATTAATATTAGGGGAAAGTAACTTAACATTCCATTCTGAAAAGGTAGGCAGAATTAAACCAATTCAAAATTATTTGAGAAAAGGTGCTTTCTTATGAGACTTCGGATTTCATTTTTAACGCTTCATTTTTAACCTCATTGAAGCGGTTACATTTGTTTTTGATTTCAGAGGCGTAGCTTGACCAGATAGGTTGTATGTAGAATTGCGCAAAAGGGTAAATTTGGTTAGATCTAAGAGGAAGCTCTAAGATTTTCATCGTTTATAAACGCATGTTAGATTAAAGTCACAAAATAGCAGCTGTAAGTGTGGTTTACTCTTGAAAGGTGGCTGATATTTCATTTAATTTCATATATATGATATCTCATTTCTATTGATGGACGGGGCTACAGTATATTTAAACTGCTTTTGATCATGTAACATTGTTGTAAAAAGATATCACTCGCAAAGTTAGTATTAGTGTCTTCACAGTAAACGAAATCACTGTACCATGTCTTGCGAGCCTATACAATTCAATATGTACCTTGTCTTGCTAGTACAAGCATCACTTTACCCTTCTTGGAACCTATATATTTTATCTGGAAGTAGACTGGTTTATATAAACTGTGGTCTTTATGAGGAAACATGATCGGCATTCAATAAGTGTTCGAATCTTCGATACCTGGATTGAAAGACAGATTCCTTAATAAACGGCTCCTTATTTATGAAGACCTCTTGTATTTTGCTGTACATTATTCCAGTTTTATTACATGACTTTAAATCAATTAACCAAACCTATCTGTTTATAAACAAATGCACTCGCTATTTTACTCGCTTGTAATATAAAGAGAGAAGTAATGTAAATGATTATATAAAGTAGAAAACAAGGGCACCCAATTGTGATGATGAAAATAATAATAATTAATAAATTAATATGAAATAATATCAATAATATAAACAGCGTCATGAATATGATATAGCCGTTTACCTATTCAATGTCAAAGGCGCATACTATAGTTTTCATATGGACATTTAGGAAGAACAAATAAAGAAATATTTCAGCCAAATGAATGGGTCATCTAGCTATGTTTTTTATACATTTTTTCATATACAGTTTATCTATATAAATTCGCAGCATACTTTTTTGTTTATTTTTTTTTTTTGGGGTTTAAGTATAACATCAGGATATGTTGACAAATAAGCAAAATGTTGAAATGTACTTTTCGATAAAAAGAGATATAAAGCTAAATGGTAACCAGCTTGATTATTCACTAGTGACTTACAGCTTCGTTTCGTATTCGACTCAGTAGTGTTTTGAACATTTGATTTTAGGCTATATGTTTAAATAATTCATTTACTTATAAAGTTTCTTATATTTCTTTTCAGAACTTAAAGAAGATCTGATGAGATTCTACAAATGGAGTCACAGCAAAGTTCTACTTTCGCCGCTTTTTGAAGAGAAAGATACGCCGTTGGCTTCTTTCTATATCAGGCCTGAATTAACTGTTAAAAAATTGCAGGAGTTGTTCAAAACTTGGGGTGTGGCTAACCGAGAAATATATCTAAAGGCTGATGCTGGACTCGGAAAAACTACATTTTCAAAATATCTAGCGACATCTTGGTACCAGGCGCATTGTCCAGATAAGGATGTGCCACATTTTGAAAAGAATGATATTTACTGTATGCGTGACTTTGACTTCGTATTTCTGGTGTTATTGCGAGATTCGAACACTTCATGTTCTGTTGATGAACTCATTTTTAAACTTATTGTTTCAAATCTGGTCAACTCAAAATCGTTCACGGAAGAATTTATGCAGGAACTACTGAGTCGTGAAAATTGCCTAGTGATTCTTGATGGCCTTGATGAATGGACTCATCCGAATAGGAATTGTGAGAGAGCACCACGATCAATCCCCCACAGGAACGTTCGAGAAAATTGTACAATTCTAACGACAACGAGACCATGGAAATTAGGAGATTTGAATTTAAGTTCGAATGAATTAGGGAAAACCGTAGAACTTACCGAACTAAATTACTACTCAGCAAGAACACTTATAAGACGAGCATTACTAAGATTGAAATCTCCTCCTCATAACATGTCAATAGAAATAGATGACGCTACTTTAGTTAATGAAATCTTCAATAGCCGGGTTGCTCACCTTGCATACGTGCCTTTACTTCTAATGTATATGATTTGCTTAAGGTGTGAAGGATTCAATATAGGAAATTCAAAATGTGAACTGTATGTAAAAATAGTCGAACTCCTCTTATTAAGAACGACGCAGAAATACGGAGATATTTCACAAACCCTTTCTTCCAGTGATGTCCCAGCATGCTTTACTGAACATGATAAATGTAAGGAATACTTCCCACTCCTGGTGAATTTAGGACAACTAGCTTATCATACATTATCAAATAAAACAAGAGAAAACACGCTGGTATTTGATGGATCAGTTACTGAGAAATATCTCACACCAGAAGAGATGAAATTCACTCTTCACTCGGGAATATTGTCTCAAAGTACAACAACAAATCTAACTAAAAAGGTTAGTAAAGTGTCATTTTCCCACAAAACAGTTCAAGAATTCTTTGCAGCCATATTTATAAGTTATGAAAAAGAGGCTCAGTCAATTGTTCTAGAAAAATGTAGAACTGTTCAAGATATTCTAGACATGTCAAAAATTTGGGAATTTGTAATTGAATTGAATTCTGACCGGATGTGTGCAATATCAAATGATTTGATGTCTGTGATAAATGAAGACGAGATTACACGCGACTATAGAACTAGGACACGTGGCGAGGACATGTACACTACTCCATTGCATAACATACAGAAAATGATCATGTCGTGTTTACAAGAAATGCCTGAAAGTGAAAATATTCAATTATGTTTACAAGATTTCTTCATTGACGTCAGTACCGTGCACAGTGAGCAGTTGCAACGTTTGTTAAAACAAAATAAAACCAACATAAAATCACTTCATATAGACACAAGACATATTTCCATCAGTTTACGTGAAATTATAGAGTTATTCTCTCTCAAAGATCTCAGTCATATACAGAAACTTCACTATATAGGTAGCAGGAAGAGCAAGAAGGAGGCGGAGACAAATCGTATATTGTTTCCCAGTATGCAGTACGTATCTTTGATGCGTGGTGGGTTGACAAATGATGAAGAAAATCTGAGTGAAAATTTGTGGAAATTACAAAACTTACAACAATTATATATTCAATTCTTCACGTTATCTCACAAAAAACTGGAAACATTTTTCAATTTTATCTCGGGTCAAAGTTCAATGAAAAAGTTAACATTGTGGGGGTTAGTGAGTAAGGAACATGGCACCAGCCACCACTTTGATTGTAAGAGATTGAACTTGGACTTGTCTCAACATTCAACTTTATCAAAGTTAGACTTGGTTAAGTTACCTTGGAGGCTACAATTAAATATATCAACACCGTCATTAGTTAAGGTTAAGTTGGGGAAAATCAATCTAGATAAAAGTTCATTGTTACTGTCACGTGACATGCTGAATATTAAAAGTGTGACGTTGTGGTTGTTAAGAATGTCTGCAGGATGTTTACAGAACTTTATTACCGTGTTGGAAATTCTTCCGCAGTCAGTTACAGTATACATGAGCGACATTAAACCGGTAAGAGAATATGATCGTTTTAGAGAAAATATTCGGAGTTCACAAACTTTTCATGTGATGCAAGACAACAGCTATTGTGGGGGGTTTTTTGTGTTCAGAACAAGAAAACCAAGTACAGAATAAACGAAACAAAATATTGTTAAATAAACAGAAGAAATAACCTCAAGACTTTTAAATGAAAACAATTTAAAAATGGACACTTAAACTGTTAAAAACAAAATGGCGATTTCTTCAAATTTATGCATATACTGTATAGCTTGTCATTAATTTTAAAAACATTTCTTTCTGTTTAAAGTTTAATTAAGGAACAGTTGTTTATAAAGAAATAATAACATTTGAAAAAGGATAAATAATTCAAGAAAGTTTTCTACCGGAACGTTATGGATGAAAAAAAAAAGAATTTGGAAATATTTCACAGGTAAGAGATTTTTTATTGAATTATTTTATATATAATTTTATATAAGTTATCAAAGTATTGAAATAGATTATTAAAGTGAAATATATTATAAACTTTTCCATGATAAATAAAAAAAACAACTATATATAATAAATAAAACTACTTTTATATTTTCAATAAATTATTTATTCTTAAAGTAGATTTTATAGTTAAAATAAAACCTTTAACTATTTTAGTCAGATAAGACACATGAAAATAAAAACACTTGTTTAAAAGCTACCGCCTCAAATATTTTCAAAGTACATTGACATAATTATGGCTTTGACACTTTGCACCATCATGTCCCCAACCTGTATACAGGAGGAGGTAATTTTATCAAGCATTTTGACAGAATTATGCCCCTTTTTTACTTAGAATTTATGTTAAAGTTTGCATATTACTTCAAATATTTTCAAAGTCTATTGACATATGACTTTATAACTTTGCACACTTGTTGATTATCATGCCTCCAACCTGTAGACAGGAGAAGGAAACTGTATAAACCATTTTTGACAGAATGATGACCCTTTTTCAACTTAGAATTTATGTTAATGTTTGCATACCACCTTATATATATTCAAAGTCCATTGACATATGGCTTTGAGACTGTGCACACTTGTTCATCATCATGCCCTCAACCTGTAGACAGAGGGAGGTAACTATATTAAGCATTGTGACAGAGGTATGCCCTTTTTTCCAGCTTAGAATTAACGTTAAAGATTGCGTACCACCTCAAATATTTTCAAAGTCCATTGACATATGGCTTTGAGACTTTGCACACTTGTTCAACATCATGCCCCAAACCTGTTAGCAGGAGGAGGATATTTTATCAAGCATTTTGACAGAATTATGCCCCTTTTTACATAGAATTTATGTAAAAGTTTGTGTACCACCTCAAATATTTTCAAAGTCCATTGACATTTGGCTTTGAAACTTTGCACACTTGTTCACCAGCATGTCCCAAACCTGTAGACAGGAGGAGGTAACTCTATCAAGCATTTTGGCTGAATTATCCCCTTTTTTGACTTAAAATGTATGTAAACGTTTTGGATACCACCTCAAATATTTTCATATCCCGTTGACATCTGGCTTTGAAACAAGTTTAAATGTTATACACTTCTTTGAGAGTATTATATGCTCTTTTTGAAAATAAATTACATTATCAAGACTCTTTTACTATCAAGCACTAAAATAGTCGAGCGTGCTTTCCTACCGACAGCTCCCCGAGGAACAATAAATGTTTCTTATGTGTATATAAATTATTTTTTAAAGTTCTTCTCTTTATCTACACGAGCTAATGCTTAGTTTCAAACATTTATTTTGTATTGCAACCACTGACTTTTTATGTAACTGTTTTTTGTTGTTTTTTTTAGCAAACGCAACCGCTTATGTTTTAAAATGAGCGCTATTTCACATACAAATATGAAATTTGTGATATCAGTTTATGATTAAGATTTTATATCTGCTTTTGTTTATAGTTTACAATATTACTTGTTAATTGTGATGGAGAGTAATAATTTTCAGGTGAGCGATATAAGTGTTATGATGACCCTCTTGTTTGAAGTATTCTTTACTGCAATATCTTTTCTTCAATGTGTTCAACCTTAGTAGTAAGAAAAAGTGGAACGTGGTTCCCGCTTGCTGGAGGCTCTTGTTTTATATGCAACTTATAATGAACTTTGTGATAAGTACCACATAAAGCTTTGATTAATCTTTATCTGCTTTTCTTTTATAGACTATTAAAGTTTGCAATAATAATTGGTCCACGTCAAAAGGAGCCTTTAAAATCAGGCGAACGATATATTGAATCATTACGGCTCTCTTGTTCAAAACATTTTATGAACAAGACAATGTTCGGGTTGTAAGAATATGTATTAATCATGTGTCTTTATTCTCGTTTCAGCGGCCTTGGATCAAAATTTCAAAATCTTCCCGATGCAGAATCACTCGAGAAATTTTACTGTTAGGATTTGTGTGGTGTAAGATCACTTTCAGGAGATTTGAACTTCATAGAAACAAATATACAATGTTGCTATGACAAGGTAAGCCTTTGAATTTTTCCTTATGATTCCATTGAAAGTTGAATAAATTCCAAACAAAAATAGTTTACTACAATATCGTAGATAGCTTCAATGACAGCATGCAGTGGTTCTACTCAGGTGTCAGTCCTTGCTCAGTTTGTTTTCGAAAGGGCCCTGGTTCTTTTCGCATATCAGCTAATGTTAAATATCTTAATTCACTTGGCCGGCGTGAGTTAGTGGTTCTATTCTGATGGCACCTCTTGATCAGTTGGCATACGGAAGGCTTGTGTTTTACTTAATTGTCAGCCCATATTCAGTTAGGATACTGGAGATCCCTGGTTCTATTTGGAAATAAACTAGTACTAAGTAGTTTTATTCATTTGGCTGAAAACAGACAGTGATTCTACTCTAGTGTCAGTCTATGTTCAGTTGACTTACTGAAAACTCGTTTTTCTGCTCTGATATCAGTTCATGCTATTATTTAATTAAGAATGAGTCAGCTCGGATATCAGCTCTTGCATGAATAATTCAACTCAGTTCGCTTACGGAAGGCCAGTGGTTCTACTCATATGTCAAGTCGTATAATGATGAATATAAAGGGCAATTAAATATATATTCTTTTAATAATTCTATCAATATATAGCCAATTAACTTTAACAGTAAATATGTTGCCAGTAAATATAATCACTAATGAATTTATGTAAGCATTTTCAGAGTGTATTTAATATGCTATTTAATATGATTTGTAAAATAAGTTTACACATGTCGATTTTATTAACTAATTACTTTTACTTACTAC